GCCCAAAGAGTCACCTAAAGCAGGGCAGCACAGGGGCTTGGGATCAGAGACATTGTGGAGGAGGCCTTGGTTGCGAGAGGAAAGGGCAGGGAGTGAAGGAGGCCAGGCTGGCCTTGTGGAGGGTGTCGAATGGGGAGTCTGGAGAATAGGTTTTGCCATCTCAGAAAGTGGCGGAAAGCTGGTCCGCCTGCAGTGATCTGGGTTGGATTATCAGAAATTAAGGGACATACCTGAGGGATGTACCTGTTGGTGCCACCTGGAGCTCAAAGACAAGGCCAGGGATGGGCTTGGGATGGTGGCAGATAAAAGACATTCACAGGGTTTTTTTTTCCTTTTCTTTACTTCTTTTTCTTTCTTTTTTCTTTCCTGGTGCTGGGAATAGAACCCAGGGCTCTACCACGGAGCTGCACAGCAGCCCAGGCCATTCATGGAGGAAGCAGTAGTGGTGTGGAAGAGCCGTGTTTGGGCCCTTGGCTCTAAGGCTTCCTTTCCATCCAGGCTGAGTTTCCTCATCCACAAAGTGGGAGGGGAAAAGTGGAGCAGAGTGGAGGGGACTGCTGGGAAGGGACCTCCAGAGGGGGTGTAGCAGCTCAGGGAGGACCGCAGCAGGCTGGGCCTGGGTTTGACTGAACTTGGGACTTCCCAGATCTTTTTTTTTTTTTGTAGTTGATGAATGCCTTTATTTTATTCATGTATTTATATGTGGTGCTGAGGATCGAACCCAGTGCCTCACACATGCTAGGCAAGCGCTCTAACACTGAGCCACAACCCCAGCTCCTTCCCAGATCTTCTCTGGAGGAGGATCCAGGAAGCCCTTACTCTAGGGAGTTGACCACAGCTCTGCCCTGGCAGGTATAATGCCCAGGAGTACTATGACCGCATTCCTGAGCTCCGGCAGGTTATTGAGCAGCTGAGCAGCGGCTTCTTCTCTCCCAAACAACCTGACTTATTCAAGGACATTGTCAACATGCTCATGCACCATGACCGGTGAGCTGGCTGTCCAGGCAACCATGCAACTGGGCTGCTGGGCTGGGCAGGGCTTAGGTGGGGGTGGGGAGGCTGAACAGGGTCCTGAGCAGCTGTGGCCAGGTTCTTTTTTTTTTTTTAATTTATATTTTAGTTTTATTTAGGTGGACACAATATCTTTATTTTTAATTTTTATGTGGTGTTGAGGATCGAACCCAGGGCCCCGCATTCCAATTGAGTGTGCTACCGCTTGAGCCACATCCCCAGCCCTGTGGCCAGGTTCTTTTGAAAGCAGCATCACTCTCCAAGTCCCTAGCTATCCACTGGGGCAGAATGACCCAGACCTTGCTGCCTCTCCTTTCCCTTCCAGGTTTAAAGTCTTTGCAGATTATGAAGAATATATTAAATGCCAGGAGAAAGTCAGTGCCCTGTACAAGGTGAGAGGTTCTGGGCCGGGGGTTGGCAGGACTTTGGTGGCCCTGGCTGGGATGAGGTAGAAGTTGGGGAACATGCTTACGGGAGTGAACTCAGAGTTCCCCTTTGGCCTATAGAACCCGAGAGAATGGACGCGGATGGTGATCCGGAACATAGCCACCTCGGGCAAGTTCTCCAGTGACCGCACCATTGCCCAGTATGCCAGGGAGATCTGGGGTGTAGAGCCTTCTCGACAGCGTCTGCCAGCCCCTGATGAGAAGATCTGAGCTTCCAGACCAGACCCCAAGCCTGCCCTTGAGTGTTTGCTATCCCTTGGGCCAGCTCCAGCTGGTCACCCTGAGAGTGGGCCACTGGAGTTAGGTCTCTTCCTGGAATCCTCACTTTCTCAGCCTCTAGGTCCCAGCATCCTGGTAACTAAGGACACTGCCCTCTTCCTGTCCTTGGGCTCCCTGTCCTTTCCTATTTATGGGGTCTGACCAACTTCACCCACTCCCCAATAAACTGATTCTCCCTGGAGCGTCTTACTCTGTGGGAAGTATTTTTAGCTTTTGGCGGACACAACAGCAGCTGCACGATCACCCTCTTAACCCTCCTACCCCTGCCAGCAGGTGCGTCCTGGGCTGGGGGGGAGCGGCCTGTGGGGGCGGGGCCTGGGACTCTCCCTTACCCTAGTGTCAGCCTCCACGCCTTTCTTCCCAGTGCTGTGTCCATACTAGGTCAGCTGCCAGCTAGGCTGGCCGAGGGCGGGGCGTCCTTCTGGGTGGGGCCCACTGGGGCTGGGAGCTGGGACTTGGGATGAATCCTCTCGGACTACCGAGGATCCACACAGTCACCGGAGGAACCCAAGAGGGGGCGTGGTCTGCGGGTGCTTGGCGCCCTCTTAGCCCCGCCCCTATCCCCGCCCCACTGCGGCGTTTTAGGGTCTCTTAGCAGGTGGCTCAGCTTGGTAGAGTCGTGGTGGCGTTAGGACTGGGGAAATGCACGGACCGTTTAGACTAGGCCTTTGTCATCCCCTCATTATGGGGAAACTGAGGGCCAGGAACGGCCTATTTCTGAATTTCACGGTACCAAGACTGAGGTGTGGGAGGAGGTCCTGCCTCCCGGCCTCAGGCAGGGAGGGGCAAGCCTCAGCAGGGAGGTTTGGGGCCCGTGGTTTCACAGTGAGTGTGTTTGAACCGAAAAGGCCGGAAACTGTTACCAGTTCCCTTGGCCCGGCTTGTGGGGACCCCAACTGCTTGCGGCTGCCCCTCCCAAGTTGGTCTTCCCGGGGCCCAGGCCTCCAGTCTCCAAGCTGCGGAGACCCACCCGCCGCTTGCAGCTGCCCCTTTCCATCCGGCCAGAGGAGAGCCACGCCCTCCCGAGTGAACTGGAGAACCCCTTGGCCCCGTCCCCAGACATCCAGGCCGCATCTCCAGGTAGCTGGATTGTCATCCCTCGCCCCACACAGGACCTTCTCCCCCCAGTGTTCCCACCTCGTCCTAGCCCCATCCCCAGACTGTCACAGGGATCCTCTGCCCCCAAACCCCCCGACCTCCATCGGGCTAGCGCCTCCGCCGCCCGCAGGAAGACGCGCGGCCCGGCACCGGGTTAGCCCCGTGGGAACGGTGGTAACGAAAACAGGAACCCGGCCGGGGGGCTGGGCGGGGCGCCCCTTCCCCACCGCAGTCCGCTTCCTGCCCCTCCCGGTTTCCTCCGTCCGACACCCAGGCGGGGCGGAGGGCAGCGGGGCGTCCGGGGTGGGGGAGGGGGCTTTTAGATTAGTCCCCCCGCCCCCTCATCCCTCCGTTTGCCAACCCTTGGCGC